GAGTCATTTTCTTTTTGAGCTTTCTTTTTTCATTAACAGAAAAAAACTGTGTCCGGGGAGTGATTCATCTGAGCTATGTAAACTACCTAAATTAGGATGGAATAATTCATCTCTGGTAGATCCCTAATCTTTTTCTGATGAATAGGTTGCAGGAATCCTAGATGAGATTTAGAGGTTGTACCCAGCTTTTGCGTAGGTAAAAGCAGATGGGATAAATCTGCCAACAAAGACAGCTGTAGCATTCAAACAAATATCAACTCTACTGCTCAAATACCTTCTACTACTCTGACGTGGAGTGAGACTTAAAGAGGAATGAACTGACACCACTGACATGCACATATTTCTGAGGCATGTAGAAGGATTTAATCCAATATATGGCTCTGAATGAAAAAGAAGTCTTCTCGATTCAACAGAAGTACAAACACAACTATGCCTTATAACTCATTGACTAGTTGCACAGAATTAATGTGATTGACTGGGAATTAGAATAACATAGGGCCACAAGTCTGGTGATAGTTCTTGAACTGCTACTTGCATAATATGCAGAAACTTCAGTTTAGAAGATGTTTTATGTTTTAGGGAAAATTTCTGTTTTAGAATACAAGACTGAAACTTTACCAGGGAGTGGGAGGTTGCTGTGCTGTGCATCTGTCCTGATGAAAATCTTTGCAGTGAACCTTAACAGGTGGTGCTGAAAAACAGAGTGGAGCAAACTGGTGAAAATAGCTGCTTTCACTGCTTTCACAACAGTGCTTTCCACCAGTCACCCAGCTATCTGAAATCTATTATCTTTTTTGGCTGTAGGGCAATATTTTCTGAAACTGAAGTTAGACTTTATGAACATTTCTAATCATGTTTTGTTGATTAGGTACTGAAATAAATTATCTTCCTTCAGTAACAATTTCACGAGTGTCCAGGTTCCTGTCTCTCTATGATTGTTGCTGAAGTCAATGGTACCAGTCAGAAAGTGGTTTCTTGCAAAGGGTTTATTTCAGAACATTTTTTTTTCACTCTGGTTTATAAGGTCATAACTTGCTTTCTTACTCATGTGAACATCTAAATTGATTAATTTCTGTTTTCCATAGGAGTATTTTAAAAGCACAAATGGTCTCATTATCTTCTCACTTCAGAGCAATGCTGACATGGTTTCTGCTTGGTAGTAATGCCAATCCCACTAGGCCCAGGAACATCAACATAGGCCTTGTTCAAATTCAGGCAAATTCAAGCATACCAGGCAAGATTTCAAGTATTAGCTAACATTATATTATAACTCTTGCAGCTAATCAACAATTTGTTCAAAATTTACTCCACAACTTGTGTTTGAGACTTGAAAATGTTTTTGGTCATACACAATAACTGTCTTTTTTGTGTTTTCTTTTGCTTTACAAAGACAACAAAATCTTTGGCAAATTGCTGTTTTATGTAGATTCATTGGCATTATTTTGCAAAGCCTGTGCAACATAATGAGTCATTAAGATTTCAAAGTTTAATACACTGGAGGGAGAAAATTAACTAAATTATATAAGACCTTGGAGCAATAACTATTTTATTTTCCTTATGCTGTGACGCTCAATGACTGTAAATTAAAAACCAGGATTCCTTTTCTTCTGCAGCTGCTGCTGCTTTTACATGTTTCATTCATAATGCTGTTTCGTGAAGCAGCAAGCTGACACTTGCCACGTTTTCAATTCAGTTTTCTCAGAGCTCTAGATTGGAATGACATAGCCTATGAACACTGTTTAAATCTGTGAACTATGTTTGATTTCTGTAGGCATAGTTCCAAAATCAGTGTAGCTCTGTGTTGTTTTGATCTGAAAAATGCAAAGCATTTTTAAGAGAGGTTGGTGCCACTAGCCCTATTTTACAGATATAAAAACTGAAACAGGTCTTGTATAGCCTTGTGACCTACAGTTAAACAGTATTGCTTGGTTTTCACTGGGAATTCATGGAAACAGGACTCATGAGGTTTTTGAAGTGATTGTGGGATTTGAGGTCTGAGTCATGATAGGCAGTTCTTGTTTTATGTTTAATTTCTAAGGCATTTTAGATCTTATACCTGTAGCACTTGACTGCTGTTGCTGATTCTTTCATTGATTTGGAAGATGGTCAATGTTTTTGTGCCTCAAAGTGGTATAAATTAATTGGTGTTAGCTTCACTGCAAGAATTAACTAATGTTTGGAGGTACTAAAGTGAAAAGAACCTTGATTATAATTTATCCATCTATGTTTAATATTAGTATCTTTTAAGGGTTCTTTCTACTGAAACAAAGGGTAATCTTCCTCCACACATACAGCTTGAGACTTGTTAGACCACAAATTAATGGAGCAGAAGTAATTGTGATCTTTGGCTAACAGGACTGAAGATTGAATTTTTAAAAACAAACTGTGCTTGATAACTTTTATTCCCTTCATCATAATTCATCATTTAAACTCGAGGAAACTAGAATTGACAAATAAACAAAATCCCTGAAATTCAAGGTAAAACGAAGAAAAAATTCCTTGTACTTGTAAGACAATTATTTGAAAATTGTGTCTGATGGGATAATATAACTTTCTGTTGCTGTTTTAGAAATAACTTTTATATTCTTCAATTTTCGTCTCCTTTTTTTCAAGACATGTGATGAAATGCATTGAGATTTATGTTATAGGTATTTTATCAGTCAGTCTAATTGTGCTTTGAAGGTTCCTATCAGTATCCTTTTCCAGTACCTTATAAATCCTTACTTTAAAATTAAATACTTTTTGCCCAGATATCCTGATTCCAAGTGTCTGTGTTGATGTCTGCTGCAAGATACGGGAATCTTTTCACTGAGTCTCATGGATCAAACCTCCCAAAGATACTTTGGCCTAAATTTTGTCTTTACTTAGACACAATGATATGAATAAATTTTCATTCTTTCTTAAAGAATGAGCTGTTTGTTAAGTATATTAGCCACTACAATGGAAACAGAATCATAAGGAAGCACAATTTAATAGTGTTTTGAGTTCAAGACTCCATTTTGACGAGATACTTGGTACAGACATTTTACATTAATTCTAACTCTATTGCAATTTTATTTAAATTTATTTCTTCTATTTAAATTTAACCAAGGAAGTAGATTTTTGTTATTTACCTGAGGAAATATATTGACTAATATTAATACATTTGTGTACTGGCATAAAACTCCCAATGAATCCAGACTGAAAGAGCTGTCCTGCATTATTTCCTCTTTATGCACTCTAATTTAGATCCCTTAAATACTTACATGCTCTTATCCATGTGCCTGATTGATTTTAATGATATAAAAGTGGCTGCAAATGAAATTCCTCATTCAGGAAGTCACCCAATAATTATTTCTGTGAAAAATTGCAGAATTTTCCTGAAAAGCACTCCAAATTATTCCATCAGGAATAAGCACATTTCTGGGAGAAAGATTGCTCTGAAATGTAGGTCTTTACTCTCAAAATTAAGTCAGATGAGCTATTCTATCAATACTGCATTGTGATTCTAAACCCAATGTTTCTTTTGCACTTTCCAAAGAAATGAGGTTTTTCCAAATGATTAGCATGGAAAACCAGCTTGTTTCAGAGGTATGGGAGGGTAAAAACTATGTTTCCTCCTCTATTTTTCTTTTCCTCTAGGAAAAGCCAGTGAAGGGGCTTAGGGAAGAGGCCCCCTTAAGAAAAAAGCAGAGGTTGTTGTGAGGGAGGGAGATGAGATTGAGGGAAAGCACAAAGTGCTGCCGCCATTGGAGAGGGCCAAGACAGCTGAATCAGAGTGATAGAGACTTTTCATTATCAGCAACAATTGCTCCAGCAAGAACAGCATGGGAGTTCATGAAATGTTTTTGAACTCAGATTCCTGATAGGAGCTCATTACATAACTTTTGCTTTGTGAGTGCTGGCAACTGGCAACCTACAGAAAGACACAGCCAGAAGCAATGTGCTCAGCTGCTTGCTTTTCTTAAAAAAAAACCACCTATATCTGGGCCAAGCATTAAACAGACAAGCCTATCTCTGCCCCTCCCCCTGTCCCCTTCATCAACAGAAGTCTGGTTTTCATCACAGATTAATAAACGAAATCTTCCATCATTTTTCTCTGCTTCCCACAGCCTTTTGGTAGGAGTTAACAATGCTCCGAGTCAACATTGCCATAGTGCTTGAAATGTCTTTGCATGTTTGTGCACTTGAAAGAGTTGTGGCGATGGGATTAGAGAAAGGCTTTTAATCCGTCAGTGCATACAACCTCAAAAACTTTGGGATGGTTTTGATCACATTTGGTTTGACAAAAAATCTGTTGAACTGTCTTGCTTATTGTCTTTTATAATAACAATAATTTTTTTTTTAAAAAGAGCCTGTGTTATATATTCAGCTATCTCCAGAAGTGATTATTTGTATCATATGCTGTTAAGGAAATAAGTCTAAATGCTGAGGAATTCCAATTAAGCAGGCTCAGCTGGAACAAATAGCCGTAGGATTTCACAATACTGTTCTGAAATTATTGGCAGGCCCAGAAGCTGGGGAAATTCTTGAATTTTGGGGTTTTACCATGGTGGACATAGCCACTAAATCTTATTTGTTTTCAAATCAGTGGGTAGACCGTGTTATTTCACAATTGCTGTCAGTGGTTGTTCCTGTTTCTTACTTTCTCTTCCATCTGCCCTAAAAAGAGATGAAATTTTAGCCAAACAAGCAGAAACTCTTCCACATTTCTAAGAGAAGTGTTTATGGGACTAAACACCATAGAATTTCCTTGGGTTCAGATGGTTTATTTATGAGAAAAAGCTTTGGTTATTTTCCTTGGAGGTAGAGGCAATTCTGTTGAGCCCTTGAGGGGAACCACATTGTAGGTATTTACTGAATCTGTGAAAATTTAACAGTAAAATCACCTATTAAGTTCTGCTGTAATATATAATTTTCTGTGTAGTATGCTCATCAAAAAACTAGTTAAAACTTTTCTGTGTTGTGTAACTCTAATTCCCTGTTTATATGATAAACACTTCTCTGTTTTGCTTTCCAAGGGCCATCATTCCCTGCCTGCCTAATCTACGGCTGCTAACAAGAATGACAGTAACAAAACCAGGGAGTAACAGCCTTCTCTGGCCCTTTGCTTTCTCTCTGCCAGGTGAGCACATGTATTTTTTCCCCTTTGCCTTTCCTCTCTTCTCCTTTTCAGAGAAAGGAAACCATTTTTATGTTGCACTAAGGAAAAGTGATTGAAAAGTGGAAGCCAAACTTTTCTCTTCAGCAAGCGGAGATCTGTTTTCAGTCTGATGTTTGGTGAAAGGAAGCTTCAGAGCTGCAGGCCAGCTGCCAGGAATGTCTGATTTCCTTTCCACCCACTCCCCTATGATCCTCCCTTTTGGCAGTGATTACTGATGACCACAGCTGTCATGCTAGGTCATGGTAAGCTGTCAAGCAAGGTAGTACATGAGATATACGAGGCCCAGTCCTTGATCTGAAGAACAAGATCTTAAATGGAATCTGGTATCAGCCAGCATGTGAACATACCACAGGAAGAAACACTGGGCTGATGTCAACTTGTCGTTCCAGTTCCTTGAGGAGATGGGCAAACTGTAGGTGCTTTTCTAACCTTTACACAGCTCCTGATATCCTGAAGCATGAGGAGGGGTTTTAATTTATTCAGAGCAGATGATTGTCAGGAATGGGCAAGTCCTTCCAGCCAGCTGAAATGAGAAATAAGCACTTTGCATGGCTCTCACCCAATAAGTATGGAATGATAGAGGCCAAACTCCATAATCAGTGATCAGAACAACAGCATTCAGGTGGTTGTGCTGTGTACAGCACTGTGTGGGTGACCAACTGTTGACATTATGGATGTGACTGAAAATCAGCACAGAAATGCAGACTTCAGAAAGTGATGGATACTTTGGTCAGGGACATAACTTCTATAAATAGGACTTGCACTCTGTGTAAGGCGTATTTTTTTAAGCTTCATGTGTTCAGTGCCAAGTGCATAAATGTCTTCCGAAGGGGTAATATTTTACTACATTTTATGCTGTTATGCTGGGTTCAGAATGCACTTTTTGCTGTAGCATCTGTTCTTCTTCTAGTGCATATTAAATAACGTGACTAAAATCCATTAGGTGTTTGCTCTCTATGCCTTTCTCCAGAGGGGGAGGCATTTGCGATGAACTGTTTGTTTTTAAAACATTAAAGAAAAGGTTGCTTTCTGTTTCCCAGAGAAAAAAAAGGTCAACACTAGAGGGACAGAAGGTCATAAATGCTGTGATTGTCCATTGTTTTTGTGGGAGTTTATTGCTGCTTTAGGCTGGCAGAGCCAAGGAACTTGCCTTCAAAATAGAGTCAGGGTATGTGTATGTAGGTGATGCTGATTTCCTTTGGTTCTCATTTAAAATGACAGGGTCCAATACCTGTGGTCTTGCTCCAGTTGGAGGATGATCACCTTAGCGAGTTCCATGTGAATTTCATTTGGTATGATTTACTTCAGAACAGCAAACATAATTTCAGCCCTTTTGCTCTTTGTTCTCACAAAACACCTATGGCCTTGGAACAAATCTTACATAAAATTGAATTTGACTTTATGAAGCTCTTACACAAGGTTAGTAGAAAATTCCAGGAACTGTTTGGACAAGAGCCAGTTTCTTTACTGATTTCTCCTAGCCAAAAAAGGCAACTAATGATTACTTTCACAAGGCTGGGGAATCCACAGCTACAGCTAAGAGGGGTAAAAAAAATGTCATAAATAAACAAGTCCATCCACAAACCCTTCCTCAGGAAACCAGCATGGGAAGCACAGACATTTAGAATGACAATCCAGCAGGTTTTGCCAAAAAGAGACTTTCCAAAACAGCTGTAGCAATGGTTGCAGTTTCCTTGAATGTCCTTTTTAATAGCATTATAGCCTCAACTGTTTATATGTTAATCTAATTGTTTTCTTGGTGTCAGCTGTATTTATTGCCACTGTATAAAGTTGTTAACCTTCATAAGTAACCCTTGAGATGGAGGGACAGGCTTCAATAAATGCTGCTGTCCATGATCCCAGTTACCTTTCAGCCCCTGTTCATTCAGGTACAGTCAGTTTTGAGGCTGGGACAGAAGCTGTTGTTCTGTCTCCCCGTGGGATACCATTTGCTTCATTTGTTCAGAAAGCTTTTCATAACTGTCCCATGTCTGGAGCACTCAGGAGTGAATATGCTTCCTCTCTTTGAATAATGGTTGAACTCCCTGTGGATGAAGAGGTATTTAAATAACCGTGTTGCCATGTAGTCTATCTCATGATTTCAATCCTCAGAGTCCCTGAGCTATCTGAGCACATATTTATAATCAGCTTGGTGAATGCTCTCTCTGGTTATTTATCAGCTGTGAGCCTGTGTTTCCATTTTACAAGTGCAACTCTATAGCTTAAGAATATGGTATGCCCAGTCATTAGCAGAATTTTTTAATTTTTTTGTCTCCAAGAATAGAAAGTTCCCAGAGTAGGACAAACCTTTGTGTAACAAATACACATATACTTTTTTTCTCTTTGCTTTGCTGACTTGGACTGTGGGACATAGTTGCTGAGACGCAAAAGGATTTCTGTGTCTGGCCCTCACTGCCATGTTAGAGGGTTTAGCTCTAAATATATTTGCAACTGGCAGGGTTTGTGTCCATAGTGTTGAAGTCTTCTACACGTAAAACTCCCAAGTTGACTTTTGGAAGCAGTCTCTGGCCTATGCTGAGCTGTGTCTAGGAATTAAATGCAACCTGGCACTCTCCCAAATGCTAGCTGACCCACACTACATCTGTGTCAGGGCTGCTCCACTCCTTTGATAGGAAAGACATTTGACATTGCTTAATCTACAAGGTCATGTAGAGTTCTTAGCCATAAACAAGCTCATCTGTACTGGGTAAAGGGAAAACTCAAGCCCCTTAAGTGAGACTCAGATGCCTAAATTTCAGTTCAAGTTGAAAGTTTGCAAGGCTATCTGTAGTCATCATGGCTTCTGAAATCCAGACACACAATTTTGTAAATAATTTCTTTTTAAGTAGTATTTAAATTACTCAGAAGTAATACCATTTTGGCAAGACTGAATATCCTGGCATGGTGAAAGCACCATCAGAAGTCACAAAAGGGACTTCCTAATTTAACATCTCCTGAAGGCTTGGGTTTGGTAGTTCTGTTAATGGTGACAGAGATGGTTTGAGCACAGAAATGAGCAGCTGTGGCTGCTTCCATTTAGGAGTGTGGATAGTGCTGGTGGTGCAACACTGAACTGTGTGTCAGAGCTGCCACCCAAATGTTCAAAGCTGTATCTTTCACCTCAGATAAGAGCAACTGAGGCTTACTTGAAAGAACTCTGGGGTTTTCTGCTGAGTGAGGTATATATGTATTTGGGATCGTAAGGGTGCTGTGGGTTTCCTTCAGAAGTCTTCTGTCCTCTGTGCTAAAGCTTAGGATGAATGGCAATATTAATACTGGTTTCTTGGAACAAAGAAGTGAGCTTGACCTAAACATCCTCACCAAAGGGATGTGTGAAGGCCTTGAACACAGAAAAGGTTAATAAGTATTTCCTGTGATGAGCAGTGACTTTAAAGAAGATCTGTGGCTTGGAGAAATGATGATTTCCTGACACACTCCTCCATTTAGTGTTTCCTTCAGCAGCTTGGCCAGCTGAGGCAGCCCCTGGGATGGGAATCCCATCCTCATTGCACCTGTGTGATCACACAGGAGTTTCCACCTGGGCTGAGACTTGCCAGCCTGCCCTGGCAGCTGGGCCTGTCAGCAAAAGTGAGCATAAGATCACCATGAGTCCCACTGAAATGTAGGCAGCATTGACCCAGGGAAATTGAGGGAAGGTGTCTGGAGTCCTCAGTAGTGCCTGGATCATGAGGCTGTATGCTCCAGGATATGTCATGTTGCTGTAGATAAAAAATGGTTCTTTGAAGTGACAGTGGTTTTGTCTGTCTCAGCTGAACTTGTGCTAGTAAACAAGGAAATTCCAGAAAAATGCTGCAGAGACCTTCATGTTCTCTATCTATTGACCTTGCATGAGAATCACCCATCCCTTGCAGCAAGACTCTGCATTTCACTTGTTTTGTCAGGCAGCCTTCCCCTTATAACTGAGCTCTGTTTGTATCTCATATTTATTACTGGGTAACCACCAGCTTCAAGACTGGCTTTGGACTAAGACTCTCTATTGGTCAAAGCTTTATACTGTTGTCACCAGTAACTCCACTGGATATCAGAGAATGCTGAAGACACACTTTTTGAAGGCTGTAAACTGACTTGTGTTAGATCATCGGAAATGAGAATCAATACTCAGTTTCAAAAGTTGAAATTTACAGCTTTAAAACAAATCTTCTCACTTCCAGAAAAATATTTTATGTGGAAGGAGTCTGAACTGAAAATTGTGCTTAAGAACAACATAAACTGTTGTGAAATGTGGATTGACTCATAATTTTTATGGATGTGCTAAAAAATTGAAGAAAAAGACCAACTGTTAAAAGTGAATAAAATTTTACGTGTTTGCTATTCAAATAGGAATTTAACTGAAGTAAAATGGAGATAAATTTCTGTTCAGACCTACTTCAGCTGGTTCACATCCTATCCTACCTGGGATAGGACATGAACCAATTTAAAGAGGAAATCATGTAACAATTTGTGAGGAAAAGAATCCTGCTAGGGTGAAGGACTGGATTAGAAATGACTGGATTCCTCATGAAGGAGTCATCAGTCATGAAGTTTTATTTTTTGTGTGTGCTCTCAAGAGAGCAGGCAGATCTAATCTGTGAGGAGCTGACTGCTGACTCAGGCTGCTGCGGGAAGGCGTCGAAGGACAGCAAGGGAAATCTCTGACCTTCACTTTGCTGCTGACTGTCTCTTGGGGTTTTCCTGCCTGGAAAGGTGGCAGTGGGTTGGGGTAGCTGGGGAGGAAACAGAGACCAGAACCATTGACCTCAGTCTAAACAGAATACAGAAAAAGACAATAAACTCCAGGAGGAAAAACACAGGATTGATTTACCTAGGAGGAAGTGAGAATATTAAATTCTTTCAAGTAACTTCAGGAGGTGTAATAGAGGACATCTATTGAAAACACACAGAGTAGACATCTGTCTCTAGCCAGGGATTCCTATGGCACACAGAAGTGATAGTTATCTACTATATAACCAATATTTTGCAACTGATTAAACCTGTGAATACTGCGGGATTATTGCAGAGAGTGAGAGACCTTTGTGCAGTCACTGCTCTTTTTCAAAAACATGAGAGGGCCAGAGTTTAACAGTGGGCAAGTTGCAAATAGTAACTTACAGAATCTCACCCTAAACAGAAATTCCTTGTTTCTTTTCTCATTACAGTATCATATTCCATTGACTCTTGTTTCCATGTACCAGAAGCATGTATCATATCCTTACCATATCCTTAGGTTCCTAGGCAAAGAGATCAATTAACAGATATCAAGGGAAGTTCTTACACTCCAACTGCACTTAGCTGATTGACAGCACCTACATGTACAAAGAGAACAGAGAACCAGAATTTAGTGATTGTGTCCTGTCTGATGATGAAGATGAAATAGTGGAAAGTATTCTCTTTCTCCCCAGTCTGTTGAGTTTGATGTTTTTATATATCTTAACCTAGACTACATTTTCATACATTTTGAATATGAAAAAATTAGAATTTCTCTCTTTTATAAGATGCACATTCATTAAGAAAGAAGATAGAAAGCCATGTTTAGAGTAATTCCTTCTATGACAGAGAAAGTAAAAAAACCAACTTGTTCCCCCCAAGCTTGTTCCTCCACAAGCTAAACTGCAACAACACAATTGTATAATTAATGTGAAAATTAATTTTACTCCTTTGTTGATGCCATATTGCCAGGTAATTGCAATCTTTTTTGTTTGTGTGCCTAGGACATTGTGTTCAGGCTCAGTGCTGTGAAAGAAAATCCAGTTAAAAATCTATTTTGCAATATCAAAAGTAGTTCTTCTTGTTTCAAGGAAAATAATGAATTTTGTCAAATCAACAGTTATGACTAAGTGGGCCCAAGTACAAAAAACCTGCATTTTTTTCCCAAAGTATCTTGAGAAAAAGTTTCCTCAGAATCTACCCTGTAGCATATTAGTAAAGGAAAAACATACCTATGACTTACTATGAGTATGACTCATCGCACTGTGCTTTAGCACATATTTTCTTTATTCCCTATATAAATAAGTGACTGAACATGTGGAAATACACCTTACTATATTAGTATTTACTTGATGTTAACTGTGTCTAACAATGGCTTGGCAAAGGAATCACTGCTAGGTTTAATGCTCTGTTGACTGGCCCAGAATGAAAGCAAAGATTAACATTTTATTTATTGCTTGTTTGTTGTATATCATCAAGGCTGCATGATGTGTCTGGACAGCCTAGTTCTCATTCTCATAATTAAAGAATTCCTGAGTGCAGGAATTCTTAGGGGAAAGCAGCAGAATTAGATCAGTAGAGGAGATTTGATTTATTTGAACTATTGTCTCTGTGATATTGGATGTCTCCAATCTTCTTAATTTAGGAAGAACAGGGTATCAAATGCATAGGGATTTTGTAACAAATGCTTTAGATTCAGGTGCACTGTGGATTTAACTTCTCTAAGCAGTTTGCTGCCCTTCTAATATCTTTAGAGTTGGGTTAGTCTATTTGTAGGGTCTTGTAAGTGGTTAAACCTAACTTTCTGAAAATGTGCAGGTCACAAGTGATAGTATGACCAATTGTTAAGTCTTTGGAAGGTTCTCTTCTTTAGAGAATAGAAAGTTATTTTTCACCTCTGAGTTATCTTGAGTCTACGTGTTCATTCAAATGAGCGCCAGCTGGTAGGAATATTTCTGTAATTGCAGTGACATAATAAATAAGGCTGAGAAATTTCTAAAGCTGTTCCTGTTCCATTTCAGATGGGCACTCTGGCAGCATATAAAGGAGTCTTCATCAGCTAATGGCAGACTCAGCTGGAGCAGTGCGGCAGACCTGTGGTTATATACTGGGGCCAGAGAACCTTTGGAAGTATCGTGCTGCAGCAGGCCATGTTCCCTAGAGTGGGATCTGAGAGGATATGGGAAGACTGGTGGTGTGTCTGCCTTAAGAAATACACAAATCAATATACAAAAGGAAACTTTGTATGCTGTCAGTTGGTATCTACGTCCAGTAAGAAATGAGAAAGTAGGGGTACGTGTCAAGCCTCCTGGCAGACTGTTGTGTTTGCCTTTCATGCTGTGCATGAAATATATAACCTTAATATGTAATTTGTATGTCTTCAACCTGCCCTGTATTTCAAATGGTGAATGAAGAGCTGTGTTACAGGCAAATTCTGGAGAAGATAAAAACAAGACAAGCAAGCACTAGAGGTAAACCAGGTAGAGGATTTCGTATTATGGGGCTGAGAAGCTACTGCAGACACATAGCTGGAGTTGTGGGTTGGGTACTGTGTACATGACCAGCACTTCCAATGTTTTTTTTATTCTTCTTTAAACCACTGGCATTGCTGAAAAAACTGTGTGAAGTACATTCACTTTTATTTTTGCTTGTTGTAACTTTTTCCTGTAGATAATCTAAAATTAAATACTCAGTGGATTCAGCTACAAAAGCTCAAATAGCTGTGTATGTAAAAGAAACCTCCTGGTAAACTGAGCATCCCACTGCCACAGAGCATCACTGGCACTTGCTGTGGGATGTTTGGTCTGCTGACAGATTGGAGCAGGACAGGGAGTACATGGGGACTTACTGGAATACATCCCAAGAGTAATGGCTTATAAGACTTGCAATAAATATTAAATGCCCAAGGTAATATTCTTTCTAATGAACATTTTAATGGTTTCTTTTCCCCAGTAGGGGACTTTCAGACTTTTTAACAGAGGCGCAGAATGAACCCTTTGTGCTGCGGCTGTCTCTCTCCATCACTTTTTGTTTTCTTGTTGCCTGTCCCTTATTGCTGGCTGCCACTGCTTCACTCTGCCTCCAGCTGTGAGGGCAAAGTTTACAGTGTCTTCAAAACCTGCTCTTTGTTTTCTTTGGTTGGGCTAAAGCTTGGTGAGGGACAAAGCAACGTGCCTCTCTGCCCACTGGAATGCTTTGGGCAGCATTCCTGTGCCTCAGCCCTGCTCCCTACACCAAGCCTGAGCTGGGAACAGAAGAGCCCAGCCTGTGTCTCTAGTAAGACACCATCACAGGCTGCCCATGGTGAAATTAACTGGATAAGGTTTTACACCGTCAACCGAGGCAAACTTCAGACATTTTCACATGGAAGCAATTGTATTGCTCCCCAGTGCACCCATGCTGTCTGCATAGCTCATCTTTTCCTTTAGATGCTTCACTAGATGCAGGATTCTTTCTTTTTTTCCCCTAAAGTTTTTATAGGCACCCTTCATGATGGAAAACAACTTCATGTTCTGCCCTAGTCATTTACCAAACTCCACAATAACAGCAAATACGAATATTAGTTTCCTATCAAAGTGTTTTGTGTTAAAATTCAGTCCTGCTGTGAGATTATGCCTAACCACCTTTAAATAGTTAAGAACTGTGTTTTTAACTGGAGTTAGAATATTTCCTAAAGGAACCTACAGTCTGGGATGGAGTCCAGATGTACATTTGAGATGGCTAAAATGGAAAGTTCTGATTTTTTATTAGGCATGCCGTTCAGAGTGCAAAATGAAGTGTGAGCAAAGAGAGCATGTTGGCATGGCAACAGCAAGTAAAATTTAATGCAACAGGTTTTGATTCTGACCTGCAAAAGGAACTCTTTGTCCTGAGAGACAGCTTGTAGCCCATAAAAATTTTAGAAGACAGTAACTTGTCTTCGCTACAGGCCAGAAACTGGGGAGCCTGACACCTTAGAGCTTTTAAGCCAACAAAAGAATCTAAATATTCTAATGGTTCTTGTTCTGACATAGATGTGCAAAAAGGATTTGCTTCAATAATGTGTCTATTGCTCACATGATAGCCACCTGCAGGCAGCCTCTAAAGCATAGTCTTTCTCTGTTACTTTTAATAGTGTATGTGGTATTTGTAAAACTGTAAAGCATAATGAGACTACATGCTTTGTAGAAAAATACATAAAATGTCAATCACCATGATTAAAATTTTGATTTTAGGAATTACCATCTCCTAAATCTATGATGAACCTGCAATTATGTCCCCACTACGTGTTACAGCTATTCAACCAAAAAGACTGAGAAGCAGCAAGTTTGGGAAAGCAAGCTATTTTCTAGATTAGTTTATTAGAGCTGAAACTAATGGCAGATAGCTTAAACTGCATAACTCATGCCAGGTATTTGATTCTGAAGGATGTGCTCATTTTTGTTTCAAGATTAGCTGCCCTGGATTCCTGAGAGCAGAGCTGGCTGCACAAATCACATTCAAAACATTTGACTGTCTAATTCTGTCTGCAGCCACCTCATCTGTCTCCATGGGAAGAAGCAAATTTACAGGAGCAAAAAGAGGAATGAACTGCTTTCCAGTGTTTTGATACACAGGAAGAAACAAACTACTCATATCTTAAGAATAACTTTGATCTTCCAGGATTTGCAGTTCTCCCTCTGGATCAGAGATGCTTGTAGAAGTTTAGGTAAGGGATGATCTTCCAAAATGAAGAAAAGATTCTAGACATGACTCACCTTGGAGAGGACTTGGGTCACCCTACTGGAAGTGGAGAGTATGCATCTGCATGCCCTTTGTGACCTGAGGATCCTTGTATTGCTTTCACCTCACTGTTTGCAGATGTCTTCATAGAAAAGAGGGCAAAGGCATTTGTGCTTACAAACCACATATGCACTGCAGGCAATAAAATCTTCTGTAAAGTAAAGCTTCTCCAGTCTTCTAACACACCCCACCATGCTTTCACTACAGACAGATTTGAAGAACTCAAGGCAGAACCAAAGCATTGCAGACTCCTCGTTGCACTGTGACTTGTTGGTTAAGACTTGCATGACCTTCTCACAGCATGAATGCTTTCCATAGTGGATGAACATAATTATAAACCACACAAGACTTGAGTTTAGTGCATTTCTGACACTGTGATACCGGTCACATTTGGCAAGTGCATCCTAGTTAAAATAGGCCTATCCTGACCTACATTAGTAGTCTCTTTGTCTATGTATTTAATACTGTATTTCATTTTAAAAAAAAGATACTTAAAATGCTGTGTGGCTGAAAGCTTTCAGTAGAAGTACACTAAAAATAATTTTTTTTTTTTTTTCAAATCCTATTGAGAGAAGAAACAACGTGAGAGGGGCTGCAAGCAGTGAGTTTCAGTGTCTTTTCACGCAGCATGGGTCATGACCTGAAGTCCTTTCTAACCCCATTTTACGTGAGTCTTCCTTTTCTGGTCTTGGTGAACCTCTGGGATTTTCAGCTATTGATGAGGGGTTTTTTTCCTCAGAAAAGTGAAGTGAAGCATAAGGGAAATTTTGCTGTTTAATAACATCACCTAGATGATTTCCCATTGCCTGCTGAAATCAATGGGAAGCCAGTCTCTTGGAAAAATTTTTGCAGTTCTGATATTTTTCTGAAAGATATATTTTTTTCATGTTTCAAGTATTTGGAATACAGCAGGAACCAGTGGTATCTACACTGGAAGAAATTCCATCAGTCCCATGTACTGTAAATTGCTGTCCACTTAAGATTCATCAGGTAGACAGAGCCCTTGGCTTCATCACAGTGGGATGTAGCCCAGGAATGCAGGCTCAACAACGCATGATAAAAATACTAAAAAGACAATATTCTTTCCTTCCATTTAAAGTGTACCATGCAGCACTTCCTTTGGAGGAACAGAGAAGTAATTATCATCATACCACCATTTCCTCAGTGTCTAGATTAACAACAGGTTATAGGGGTCCAGAGCTGAAGATTTTAGCCTTGTTGCCATTTATAGGTTCTTTCTGCATCCTATAATATGCTTTCCCATTAGCTAAAAGTGCCATTTCAGGAAATTGCCTTAAGGCTTGTTTTGATTTCGGGGGGTGGCAAAGTGTGAGGAAAAAACTCAGTGTCTAGAGCTACAGTGGCTCTGTTCCACTGTAGCTCTAGACAGTCACTAAGAAGCAGGTATGGGGCTTTTTTATCTGTCATTTCTTTTCCTTTTATAGTTCTGTAGGATGTCATCTTCTAGAAGTTCACACAGAACTCAACCATCTTAACCTTTTACAGGTAGACAGTAATAGGGTAAAAACAGAGAAGAGATAGCAATAAATGATCTTGTTACAATTTTCTAGTTTTGCTAGTTGCTAAATTTTATTAGACAAAGACCAGAATATTAGCTGTGTTATTATTCATTAATCATAGCTACATGGAAATATATTTGTCTTTAATCCCCAGGACTAGTAATTGTACTGAGATTATTTTCCTTTTGTGCTGTCACCGCTCCTGACAGAACAACTCCTCCTGATCTCAAATGAAGCAACTGATTGTCCTGTAGGCCATGTCTAACGTGAATATTTCTTGAAGACCTCAGCAGTTTTGATTTGTGGTTTGAGATGTTTCTGTCTCCAGGTCTATATTTATTGAATTTTGATATTCATACATCTTCAACAAAACAGTCCTGCAGACAAATGTGTTTGGTCTCAACTCCAGTCTCAAGTACAATTACTCTTTTTTCCTTTTTTTTTTTTTTATTCCCCTGTTACTGAAAATTCATAAATAATATGTTATACTTTTAAAGGAAGTATTTTTAATCCTGAATGAATGAGATTATTGGGTGATAGAAATTTAACAATTGAAACTCTGGATAAATTTGCAAATAGGGCACCCCATAAATATCTAATTCTTTACAGAGACATCATAAAATGACAGCAGAAGTGAATGGCCAGCAAGTGCCTCATGCGCTGTGTATGAAACCCAATATTTTTTTCACTTGAGCTATTTATTATAAATCTGGAATAACTCAATTTTAAATTAGATTACTCAAAAGAAAATCTTTCCCCAAACAACTTGTGAAATTCTATTTTATAACTGTTTTTCAAGCATCATTTAAAAAGTGAAGATGCTCTTCCAGCCACACATTTTGCACAAAATCATCTGCCAGTAGAAAACTTCAGTAATATTCTTGACCAAACACAATAGATCCTGTAAATACTGATCCACAATTTTATTTATATTCTCATGTGGCTCATTAAAACAATTACTTTTTATGGGTTTTTTTCCCCTCCTATTAATGCAGAAACCCTCCACACCTA